CTTGTACCAAATGGGGCGAGCCTCTCCAAATGTACACCTTCATTTAACATCGTGGTTTTCCATTTCTTTGTATGCGGTATACCACGTTATTAAGTAATTTCATCACCATATAGGGCCCTTCCCAGGCTGTTTGCAATTTCGGGGACAAACCTTTCTTTCGAAGTGGATTGTACAACAGGACCAGATCACCTTCTTCAAAACTTTTTGAATTTGCCGCTTGACCAAACCGGTCCTTCATATTATTGCTCATCAGATGCGTGTGCTGCCTTACCATTAGATGCAGTTCATTCATTTTTTCCTTTAAGGCAGAGCAATAATCTCCATCATTTCTTACAGCTGCTGGATTCATTCCAAACTTAAGATCAGCAAGGAGTCGCAGATCAGATCCAAAAATAATCTTTGCTGGCGTGTAACCAGTTGTCTCGTTCTTCGCTGAACGGTACGCCAGCAGGAACATCTGGATGCACTTGTCCCAATTCCGTTGATCTTTATCAATGATTTTCCGCAGATGTACCATCCCATCTGATTGTGGATGTAACGCTGTTGTCCGTGTCTTGTGGATGCCCAATAATGTACAGACTTCTTGGAAAATGGAAGATTCGAAATTCCTGCCTTGACCTGAGTGTAATTCGACAGGCACTCCGAACCTCGTTATCCAGTTTTCTACAAACGCTTCGGCTACTGTCTTCGCTTCTTGGTTTGGTAAGGCATACACTCTTGGCCATTTACTGAAATAGTCCATGACAACCAGTAGATATTTGTTTCCGGCCGTACTGGTTGGGAACGGACCTGCAACATCTGTTGCATACTGTTGCAGTCTACCCCGACTTTTGACTTTAGGACCTTTAGCTACCATGCACTTTACACAATTACTTATCCATTCTGCTAACGAATCTCGACAACCAAGCCCTCCACTAGGGCCATTGTGATATTCTTTCAATACTTTCGGGATCATGGACTTCGGTACTATGATCAGCAGACGAGACTTTTTGCCATCTTCGCTTTCCCAGGTACGATGAAGGTATTCATTAACGAGGTTTATGCTGTTCCATTGGGCCCAATATGCTTTGGCAGTTGGACTCTCGCTACTTATTTGTTCCTTTGGTGGTCGTACCCCATTTTCTTTGGCTATTATCAGCTTTGCAAGATCAGGGTCCTCCAGCTGATTGATTATGATGCGGTGAGGAGTCCAATCATCTTCAGGTTCTATATTCAGTAATCGCACTTCAATTATACCTTCTTTTCCTTCTGATTTGGAGCAATGTTTACATTCCAGTGGACAAGGGCAACGTGATAATGCATCCGCATTTTTGTGGTGAATCCCCTTTCGGTGTTCTGTTTCGAAGTCGTAATTCTGTAATCTTTCGATCCATCGTGCAATTTGGCCTTCCAGATTCTTAAACTGTAATAACCATTTTAATGCTGCATGATCAGTCCTCAGCAAGAATCGCCCATACAAAAACTTGTGGAAATGTTTTACACATTCCACCACAGCTAGTAGTTCTTTTCGCGCCACACAGTAGTTTTTCTCTGGTTTCCCGAGCACTCTGCTGTAATACCCAATTACTCTTTCTTGCCCATCGATGAGCTGAGCCAGGACACCTCCAATACCATAAGCGCTCGCATCTGTATCCAGGATGAATTTCTTTCCAGGTATTGGATAAGCTAACATCGGCGCCGTACAAAGTAGTTCTTTAAGCTGCTCAAACGCTTTTTCTTGTTCCAGCTGACATACAGACGGGCGATTCTTCTTTGTTAAATCATGTAAACTCTAGCCACGTTCGCAAATCCAGGTACAAAACGGCGGTAATACGTGCATAAGCCGAGGAAGCTGCGGAGTTCATGTATGTTGGTGGGTCGAGGATAATCTTTAACTGCTTTTATTTTTCCCTCCTCGGTGTGAATCCCCTCAGTTGACACTTTATGTCCGAGATATGTGACCTGCTTCTTCAATAAGAAACACTTTTTGGAATCCAAGCATAATCCGGCTGATGCTATTCGCTGAAAGATTTTTCAGATGCTCATCAAAACTTTTTCCCATGATGATAATGTCATCAAGATACACCAAACATGTCTTCCAGTTGAGTCCTTTTAACACATGTTAAATCAGTCGCTCGAACGTTGCAGACGCATTACATAACCCAAATGGCATCACAGAGAATTCCCATAACCCGTCGCCCATACTGAAAGCGGTCTTTTCACGATCACATTCATCAATCTCGACTTGCCAATATCCACTTTGTAGGTCTAATGTAGAAAACTATTTTGCTCCAGACAAGGTGTCTAATGCATCGTCGATTCTCGGTAGAGGATAACTGTCTTTCTTTGTGACATCATTCAACTTCCTATAATCTACGCAGAAACGGGTTTTCACATCTTTCTTTTTAACTAAGACGATAGGTGAGCTCCGTGGGCTTATTGAAGGTTCGATTACACCGTTTTTGTGCATGCCTTCAATAATTTTGTTAGCATCCTCACGTTTTGCTAGTGGAACCCTACGCGGAGCTTCTCGGATTGGCTTAGCGTGTCCGGTATTTATGCGATGTTTGACAATGCCGGTTCTTCCTGTGTTGTTTCCTTCGTTTGCAAATATGGATGCGTATTTTTCTAATAGTTTTTCTGTTTTTAGTTTTTCATTTCCATGCACCTCGTTCAGCAAATTGTTTAGGAGTGTAGGACTTATCTGTTGTGGCTCAATAGTAGGCTTCTATTGTGACCATTCGCATCGTGATATTGCACTTATATTCTGGCACTGTCCAATTACTGCTCCTTTCTTCAGACGTATGGGCGTGTGGAATTCATTCACTACGACCGGAATGGTAGCGTCTTCTCTAGTTTTCACAAGTGTTCTTCCTACCAATATGGGTGTATCTATATTTCTTGGTTCCACAATCCACAATTCCACAGTCCCACCTCCTCCATTCACTTTAGCCCATACAATCGCCCCAGTTGTGGAAACCAGTTCATGCCCCTTTGAACTGTTCCGTTTTAATTATCTTCAGAGTCTTCAATATTTCTTCCATCAGCGCCGGTTGTTCCATTTGAACTCTTTGTACTTTGTGTACTGCTTTACTTAGTAGAGAAGCTGTTTCCTGTGTGAGGGCGTGCGAAACCGTTTCGGCAAACGTTCTTTTTGGCAACGCATATGTAGCGCGTTTGGTGTCCACATCACGAATTCCATTTATGAAACTTTGATTTTTCACCCTCTCAATGTAATCCACAAGTGCATCTGCATTTGCAAAATGAGCCAGTCGTTCTATTTCAGTTGCGAACTCTTGCAATGACTCGTTCATTTTCTGACCCCTATTTTGCAGTTCGATCTGGTATATTTGTTTCCGGTGCTCACTACCATATAGTCTTTCTATCGCACTCATCAAAGGCTCATAGTTGTCCCGTTCACAATCTGGAATAGTCTGAAGGATTTCTGCCGCAGGTCCTTTCAATGATACAAACAAGGACGCCACGTTGTCCGCTGCATTCCAGTTATTGGCCACTGCTGTCTTTTCAAACTGAAGTTTGAAAATTTGTAATGCAATACCTCCATCGAATGTGGGTGCCTTCAATCTTGGATTATTTGTTGATGGTGCAGGGCCATGCAGTTGCAGTTCTCGCATACGATTACTCAATTGAAGAACTTCTGATTTTAAATATTCTTCAAGATTTTTTAGCGTGCTTAATTCATCTTCAAATTTTGAAAATTTCTCTTGCACTTGTTTTTGTACTTGTGTAGTATTTTCTGTAATCTGTTGTACCTAACGATTTTCTAACTGCGTATTAGTTTCAGTCATTTGTTGTGTAAGGCGAGACTCTAACTGCTATGTATTTTCAGCTATTTGCGTCATTTGCTGTGCCAGACGATTTTCTGTTTGCACTGCATCTTCTGCCATTTGCCTCGTAGCCACTAACAGCATATTCATGTCTACACTTGATGATGTTCGTTGTTCTTCTACTTTTTCTTCTACCTTTGTAGAAGTTTCTGGGCCATCAAATTCGAAATCGTTCATATTAATTCCATCCGCTTCCATTGATTAACGTAATCGTGTCTGCAGATCCGCCTTTTGTCCGCTTATCGGCAAATTACGCTCCTCCAGTTCCTTTTTAATTGCTGAATTCTCAATTCCCCGAATTTAACCATCTTGAATTTGGATTATTTGACAATCCCACTTCGGACACCAATTGTTGCGAATTTACTCCCTACTAGTTTACTTTACTAGGTTCGTATCTCTGGATTGACAAATAAAACCAAAAACCGTTTACATCACTTTAACAAAATCTCTTTATTTCACAATTCGTCTACACTATAGCAGTTTACTCTTAGCACTCCTTCCTTACGTTGGCGCTACCACGGCTTATATAGCCACGCACTCCTCGCTGATGTCGACGTGTACCTCTAGAACATTGCGTCTGGCAATTATAAGAACATAATGCTATAAGTTCCATATACAGTTAATGTTTATGCTACAAGTAGACAAACAGTCAACAGTTTATAATAAGTGTTACCAAACTTAATACTACTTTTGTAACAGTATTTTTGCAATCTGCAATCTTGCAAGAGCAAGCGAATAACGCTATTGAAATACCGTTGGGGTTCATAAGTTCATAATTTTCCACTTGGTGCAACGGAACAACAACAAACACATTATTCGGAAAATTATTTGCAATGGCTATAAAATATGTCAGCCTAAAATCCATGTTTATTCTCTTGCAATGACGAGTAAAAAAATAATTGCAACCCTGTGCTAGCTGTCATTTTACTTAGATACAAATTTTTACGTTAAATTGTTGAGGAAGGTAAATTTTAAATGGATTTAATTATTTCTATTTAAATTATTAAGATTTGTTACAGTTTTTTTTGTTAAAAATGTATGCAGAATGGGCGCTAATTCACAAAAGCCATGCACAATAGTCATTTACAATAACGAATCCCTCTCCGCCAAAGTAATCGGAATCGTTTAGTTAGTAGTTTTAGTTTTTATGAAAAAATAAAAAAGAGATTTTACTGATGACGTTTTACTCTTAATTGTTATTCGTTTGGTATGAATTATGTTCTTCCATTGTGCATACATGGCCTGGAAATGCACTTTTCAGGAGTGTATATGGACACTCACAAGTCACAATAGTCATATATCTAAAAGTGATGCCTAACTTTTATATGTTGCATGTAAAAAATTTAAATAAAGTGGTAAGAACACAAACATAAATAATTAAATGTAAAAATAAGAATACATGCTATACAAGTTGGATAAAATTAAATAAATGTATCTTGATTGTTTTATTAGTGCTTCGTATAATTACGATAAATGCTGTATATTGTTGTTATGTGACATCAATTATATTGCGATTTATAGCTAACTTAAAAACGTAACATAAAAACAATAATACGACAAAAATGCAGTGAGTGTTAAAGTCACGGTAGAGGTACCATATACCATTGATAAAATCGCAGAATTGATTAATTTTAGCCTTCGAATATCATAAAGTATGCATACAACTAATTATATATTAGTAAAATGTGCATGATAATAATGTAGAATAAACGAAAGAAAGTTTCGATGAAAATATTAGTATAAGGATATAGAAAAAAGTGTAGACAGAACATTAAGAAGTGTATTCGCAAAATGAGTTTTTCCAGCGACGAAGTAAACTTTTTGGTTTATAGATATCTTCAGGAATCTGGTAAAATGATATATTTTTCACTAAATATCACATACTTTTTAAACATGTCGACATTAAATAGGTTTTGTACATTCTGCTTTTGTGTTTGGTGTGGAATCTCATATTTCACAAAGCAACATAAATGGCGCTTTGGTACCACCGGCAGCTCTTCTTACTATTCTTCAGAAAGGCCTAATGTATACAGAAGTTGAATGGAGCGTTGGTGAGGATGGTGAAGCTGGTCGTTCAGTTGAAGGGTTAAGTTTAATTGATGCCGTTATGCCCGAAGTAAAGCCACAAAAACCAGCAGTTGTAAAATCAGAACATGGGAAAGCCAGTGCGGACAGCAGTAGCGCAACTGCATCGTCAACGACAACAGGTGGTGTTGTAAAATCGGAAGTAAAATCCGAGGGTAATGTTCCAGGAGCTTCGACAAACAATGAGCAAAACGTTGGAGGAACTCCATCCGCATCAGCTGATTCTAATGAAGCTGATAGTAATACTAATTCAGCTGCAAATACAACGTCTGTTGCACCATCTGTCGGAACTGCTAATACTACAGCTGGGACAACTAGTGACGCATCTTCAACTGGAAATAAAAAGGCCAACCCCTCGGAAACAGCATCTGGCAGTTCTTTAGCCACAAATGATCTTACAACAAATACAAATGTCAATAACGGCATTACCTCAGGCACTAACGCTAATGTCAATGAACCAACAACGACCACAAATTCAGTAGCAACTGGTTCAACAACTGGGACAAATATTTCGGGAGCCGGTACTACTACTACTTCTATCGGCACTG